GATGCTGCTTGGCCTGCTGTGTTCATCCAGCCCTGCACCTTGTTGTCTCGGATTCTCCAGCATCTGCAGTTCCTACTATCTCTCATACTTAGGAGTATTGTGTTCAAGAGGGTGCATGGAGATGATAGATAGCAACTAACATTCACACAGACAAGAGTAAGGCAATGAACATCCCCAATGAGAGGTCCTGGTTACTCCCTAAAGTAATTATCATCATTGAATTCTTGATCAATTTGGTGAAGATCAACATGGGCCACAGGTTTAATTAAGTCTAAGCAACTACAGCAGACTGGAAACAATCACAGAGAATGCTGGTGAAACTCAGTAAACGTGGCAGGTCTGCGGAAAGAGAAATAAAGTTATTGTTTCAGCTCCAGTATGACTCCTCATATGACCAATGACAGTAAATTCCTAAAGTGTACACAGTCAGTATAGTGTATTCAAATGTACCTTGATGGCATCGGCCAGTGATTTTATGTTTCATGCCCACTTCTGCATGAACAGTATCACGCAGGATCTGAACTGGACAGCTGTGAAAGTGATCTGGTTGGTGTTTGCAGATCTGTGATCAATGTTATCAGTTACGATAAGGACAAGTATAAAGCCGTTGTACGCAATCAAATCAGAGAGATTGTGCATCAACGTTATTGAGATGGATTGTCTCTGCACATACCGGAATAAAACCAGTAAAACTAAATAGAATCCTGATTAGTTTGAGAAAAGTATGAGAGATTGTTTGAACTCTGGTGAATCTCCACGGTCAGACTCAAAATGAACAAATCAGTATACTTGCAAAATGGTGAAAATCTCAAAACAGTGGAGGTACAAAAATACCCAATTTCACAAAGATAAATTATTGAATGTCAAGACAACGTACAGAAAAGAAATCTAAAGCTGGCTTTTACATCTAACAAATTGTAATCAAAGAGGGATAAAGTCTGGAGCTGGAGGAACATTGCAGGCCAGGCAGCATCAGAGGAACAGGAAAGCCGACGTTTCGGTTCGGGACCCTTCTTCAGAAAAACTTTCCTGTTCCTCTGATACTGCCTAGCCTGTTGTGTTCCTCCAGCTCCACACTTTGTTATCTCGGATTCTGGCACCTGCAGTTCTTGCTCTCTCAGTAGGAAAAAAGGTACCAGTTTTGCACCAACACAAAGTTCTGCTTAGACCATACCTGGATCCAAGAGATGCTCTATGGGTCTTAGAACAAATGCAGAATGATATCTGGAGGCGAAGTGTTACGTTACAATGAGTAATTAAACAAACTTGGCTGTGTTCTCTGGCATTTGAAAACTTGAGAGCTAATTTAATCCAAGTATTCAAGATATTAAGGTAAATTATAAGGTTAGTAAAGAGAAATTCTTTCTGCTGGTTAAAAACTAAGATGATGAAGAATACAGTGTAAAATCAAGCCCAACATTCCAAGAGTTCTGTTCAGAATCACATTTCTACATACAAAAACGTGGTAAGTTTTTGCAGTTCTCTTGCATTGACAGAAACTGACAGTTCACTAATTGTCAACTGTAAATCTGATTTTTTAAAGATGTTTGTGAATCAAAGTAATTACAACATATAGGATAAAAACAAATGTCTATGCAGTTAGGCGTCAGGCAAAAACTTTTGTTGCACATCATAAAAACACATTTCAGCAAATTTCCTGAAATCAAGCAAATGAAAAGCGATTGTACGAAGCTGATTTATCTTGGTCTTGTTTGTAGTTGCTAATGCCTGTCTTTTTGGTTTCAAATTCTTTGCTTTAATATAGTTCAACAGCATAAGCCCATGGCACTCAATATACTCTGATTCTCAGAAAGGACCAGGTGAACGAGAGAGCCCTTTAGCATTCAACAATGCTGTTTTTCAAATTATCAGTCAAAGAATGTGACAAGTGCAATCTGTACGAACAAATCTGAGTAGTACCTCCTACATGTCACTTCGGTCTTGGAACAAAAAACTGCACAGTTTCTCTGATCCAAATCGAATGAGACCACAAGATATACGAGAAGAATTAGGCCATTCAGCCCACTGAGACAGCACCACCATTTGATCATGGCTGTTATGTTTCTCAATCTCATTAGTCTGCTTCTCATCATAATCCTTAATCCCTTTAACTGTCAAGAACCTCTCTCCTTCTCACATACACTCAATAACTTAGCCTCCACAGCCCTCTGTGACAATGAGCTCCACTGAGAGATCACCCTCTGGTTGAAAAATTCCTCCTCATCTCAGTGCTTAAAAAGTCATCCCTTCAATCCCTTCACAGGGGAGGCGATGGCATAGTGGTATTATCGCTGGACTGTTAATCCAGAAACCCAGATAACGTTCTGGGGACCCAGATTCAAATCCTGCCATAGCAGATAGAAGAATTGAATTCAAAAAAAATCTGGAATTAAGAGTCTAAAGATGACCATGAATCTGTTGTTGATTGTCAGGAAAAAACCCATCTGGTTCACTCATGTCCTTTAGGGAAGGAAACTGCCATCCTTACCTGGTCTGGCCTACATGTGACTCCAGGCCCACAGCAATGTGGTTGACTCTCAACTGCCCTCTGGGCAGTTAGAGATGGGCAATAAATGATGCCCAGCCAGTGACGCCCCTCATCCCGTCACGCCCCTCATCCCGTCAATGAATTAAAAAAAAACTCAAGGCTGTGGCCCCGGGAGCTCGTCTCTTCGACTAGGGAAAATAGCTTGTCCACACCCACTCTACCCAGGCCTCTCAGTCTTCTGTAAGTCTCACGGATCCCCCTCATCCTTCTAAACTCCAAGTACAGACCTAGAGTCTTCAACCAGTCCTCATAAGCATTTCCTCCCTAGAATCAATCTCCTGCAGACCCCTTCCAATACCAGTATATCCTTCTTTAGATGTTGCCCCAAAACTAAGTGTGTAGA